CTTGCAGGCCACCATGGGGGAGGACGCCGCCGCCGCGGCGCTCCGGGCCGGCGGCAGGGGGCTCTCGGACCCTTGGGCGGACTCGGTGGGCGTGCGACCCCGCACCACGGAGCGCCACATCACGGTGCACAAACGGCTCGTGCTGGCCTTCGCCGTGTCCCTCGTGGCGCTGCTCGCGGTCACCATGCTCGCCGTGCTGCTCAGCTTGCGATTCGACGAGTGCGGCGCGAGCGCAGCGCCCGGCGCCGACGGCGGCCCCGCGGGCTTCCCCGCGCGCGACGGCAACGCCAGCGGCCCGGGAGCGGCCCGGCGCGACCACCCCGCGGGCGAGGGCGGCGAGGCCACGCCGGCCACCCCGTCCGCCCAGCCGCCATCGGAAGAGGAGCGGGAGCCCTGGCGACCCTGGACCCAGTTGCGCTTGTCGGGCCACCTCAAGCCGCTGCACTACAATCTGATGCTCACCGCCTTCATGGAGAACTTCACTTTCGCCGGGGAGGTGAACGTGGAGATAGCGTGCCGGAACGCCACCCGCTACGTCGTGCTGCACGCCTCCCGGGTGGCCGTCGAGAAGGTGCAGGTGGCCGAGGACCGCGTGGCCGGGGCCGTCCCCGTGGCCGGCTTTTTCCTCTACCCGCAGACGCAGGTCTTGGTGGTGGTGCTGAATCGGACCTTGGACGCCCACAGGAATTACAACGTGAAGATCGTCTACAACGCCCTGATTGAAAACGAGCTCCTAGGCTTCTTCCGCAGCTCCTATGTGCTCCACGGGGAGAGAAGGTAGGGAGGGGGCGGGCCCCGCGGCGGCGGGACCCTTGGGACCCTCTGGGCTGCCTGTGACCTACACGCCAGGCTGGGTCCCATTCCCTCTGGGAAGCAAGGGGTGGGGGAAGGGAGAAAGAAAGGCGCGGTAAAGTTACCACCCCAAGCCCCCAGGGTCTCCCCAGAGCCCATCAGGTCTGCAAACTCACTCACTTAGTGCCAAACAGGGAATGCCGCCCCCTTCCATGGTTGGTACCTTCTCCTGCCGCCCGCCAAGCTAAGCTAGCTGGGCCAACTCACCGCCATAGAATAGATTCCCATTCATAGTGCTGCTGCTTTGCTAAGGGGAATGTGTAATTTGTGCGATGCCAGATTGGCATTAAAAGGCTGACAAGTTATCCTCTAAAGAAAATGACGTGAGCGCTTAAGGCCAACAGAGCAGAGCCTCTCCGTTAAGATATTGGCAAATTCCTCTTTCCATGTCCACCCTGTCTGACTCTTCGTCCCCTGGCAAACGCTTGGCAAAAGATGGGCTTTGGTCGCATAAAGTTTTCTGAAAGTGGAAGGTGAAGTTCACAGCCCTGCCTATGACAGCTAAAGGCTGGAGAGGCTGGAGGGGTGGTTACCATGTTACCTGCTATCAAGAATACCCCAACGCGGAGCTGCAGGCATGGTCATTCCTGTGGCTTTTCCTAGAGTTATTGGCCCTGGGAATGACTCTTGGTGAAGGGGGAGAAAACACAAGGTTAGTTAGTCTTAAATGCCTCGTTAGCGAGTGCCTTCGATGCCTTTTAGATTGGTTAGTATTCTTATTACTCTACTTACTAGTGCTTTTTTAAAAAAACTTTCCTTCAGTTGTTTAGAGTTTGTGCTTAAGAATCCAACAGAACAGGTGCGAATTGCACCAACTCCTCCAAAACTTTATGGTGTGGTGAAGTTGTTTAGTTTAGCTAAACCAACCATTCTGAACCCGATTACCTCTATTACTTACGTTATTTCAACCCTACAGCAACCCTGTGGAATAGGAGCTAATATCCCAAGTTTGACAGATGGAAAAGGAGAACATCAGGGAGTCAAATACCTTGCCTGTGATTACATGGTGTACTGATAAAGCAGGGATTTGAGTTCAGGCAGCATGGCTCTGGAGAGCCCATATATATCCCCTGACTTGGGAATAATAACAGTAATAAATCCATAGTATTACTGTACTCTCATAGTATTGCATCAGGTGCCCAGGACTCACTCAGTGCCGTGGAGTCGAGTCTGACTCACAGAGACCCTATAGGACAGAGTTGAACTGCTCCTGTGAGTTCATGAGCCGGTAACTGTTTACCAGAGTAGAAAGCCCTGTCCGTCTCCCTCAGAGCACTGATTCCAACCGTTGACCTAGAGTTTAGCAGACCAATGAGTGAGCACATGCCACCAGGACTCCTAGGTGCCTATGAGTAAATGCATTAAACAGCACTTGACCATGTGTGGGGCATATAATCTACCATCAATAAGTGTCTGGTAGTATGAGGTTGTCAGGTATGTTTTTAATGAAAGAATAAGATTCTTGCTCTTCCCCTGACTCATTACGTTTAAAGCAAATGACTACTTAAATGACTGGAACAGGTGAACAATGAGAGTTAAAAAATAAAGTTGTAGAAACATAACAAACTTAAAAATGCAAACAACTTGATTAAAGGTATGCTGGAAATGACTGATGGGAGATCCCCAGTGATTCTCACAACGGCAACACCAAAGGGCTCAGCAGTCCAGCGCACCTGGGATCCCCAGGTTTGTCAGTGCAGAGCTGAGTTTGAACTCTGCTTTTCTGGTCCCTAGACGCTCAAGAGAAACTGCTAGCCTCTCAGTTCTGGGGACACGTCACCAAAGTTCTATTGTATGAGGTAATGTTATATAAATAAAATACAGACATGCCTCAATAGTTGCATGCTAGTTAAGGCCTCCCATAAATTATTCACTTCATAAATCCTAAAATTAGGTATGAGTAATTTAAACCCCTTTCCATAATTTTCCCATTTATTATAAAGAATACAGATTAAACATTAAAAAAACCCTACTATCATCAAATATGGGGAAAGGCACAGAAGGAATATCTTCATGTCATGTTGAGAAAAAAGCTTGTTATATCAAAATATCAGTGCTGTAAATTGCATATCGCTACTGCTACATCTTGCTGTGGTAAAATAAAGATCTCCAACTACTGCTGGTTTTTGAGCCATGCCAAAATATATTTAGTGGATCTGAGTTTGTTTTGGTCAGTGCTTTCAAATTAACAGGACTCTTAAAAAGACCAGATGTTTCTGCTTGACCCATAACTGATTTCTTATACCCCTGGTACATATTTGCATTTTAATGCACTCCTTCAATTCTCCCTAAAGATGGAAATGACTTAGTTGAAAGTTTAACCTAGAGCACAAGCAGCTAAACTCTCCTCCTGCCCCCCTCCCCCCAGCAGAACTGCAAGATTCTGTGTTCAAAAGAGTTCTATCCCTTTTTCTTTAATGCCATATTAATTTGATAGTTTATTGGATGTTTATGCTAGAGTTGATAAGACAATGAAAATGTAGTAAATTATTTAAAAAAATCATACCAGCATTCCATATATTAACTTTTGTTGTTGCTGCTGTTACTATGACTACTTAGACTAATAGCAGGAACTCAGTCAAAGTTGGACTTTTGTCAGTAATAATTTTGTCACCAAAATGCAGTGTAAATAACATTTAAAAAACCCCCCTCTACAAAAGGACACAGGGGCAAGCTCGGAATTTTCATTTAATTAAATGATTAAATAGCTTAGTGTTTAGTCATAACTATTACCAATTTAATTATAGGATAATTTCGGTAATGAAAACAAATATTTAATCTGCCACTTGGGGTTCCCATTGAATAATGTGAAATGCTTAAAAGAGTAATACTACAACTTAATCCACTTAGTTTATGTGGAAACAATGACTCATTATTCCCGGTTAATCTGATTCTTTGATGCCCTCCTCAGAGATCTGAGAGAAATGATTTTGGGGAGGGAAAGGAAGTTACAGTCCATGTGGTAGACTTTTTTTTGCCCCTGGGTAGGGTTTATAGCCAACTGGGTGGTGGAGGGGGTCTCGTTACCTCCTACAGAGAAGAACCATCTTTCATGACTCCCATGCAAAGTGAATAAAGATCAGAAGCAGGTACCATGTTGATTCCAGTGTCTCCTGCTCAGGCAAATCTTGTCTGTGCTGTTCATTTGGCTTCCTAAGAACGGAAACACATCTCCTTGAGAATTGCAAATCAATAAGTTCTCTTAAAATTGAAATGTTTACACACAAGCAGTAAATTATCTCCATTAGACAGAACACATACTCACTTTTCCCTAGAATAGGTGTGCAACAGGCATATTAAAAGGGGTGTGTATTTATGCCATAATCGCCTATTGGAGAATGTGCTTGTGTTGAATTAGGTAAAATGTTCATTTACCTGAAGTAATTACCGTTTTCGGGTAGCCAGATGGTGTGCACACCCATGTTCAAAGTAGGGTACCTTAATTTAGATCCAGATGGTCGGATTGAAAGAGGAAATTTATCCGAGGTAAACGAACACTTTATCCACTTTCAAAAGAGAGACTGGTTTTCTTTGACAAACTTTGATTGGGTCTATAACATGCCAAAGTAACAGAAAACAGGATAAAATTAGGAGGTCTTTCTGTGTAAAAGATTGTTTAGTGAAAAACCATGATCTCTGATTAAACTGGGAAAATATTGTTCTCAAAGAAAATGAAGACCACTTGTTTGTAAGAAAATTTGTGGAGCGCATGCAAGATTTTATCTCTGGGAAGGCACGTGATCTTTGGTGGTATTAGTGTACATGGAATTAGAAGAAGGAATGGGTCACAATACTTAACAAACATAAGAAAACCATCATTATTTTTATGCCTCATAGAAGACTCATCTCTCACATTCATTTTGGTGAGAGATTTTTACATGAAAAAGTGGGAGTGTAAGGCTTTTTGCCCCCATTTAGAAGTCTCTGAACTGAAAAAAATCTTTGAGAATCACTTTTGAAAGGATATATTCATTTTGTTTTTGTTAAACGTTTTTTATAGCAATTTGGTAATTT